ATTGTTGTTTGGCGGGCCCAGGCTGGGGATTTGAACCCGCCACCTTGGGTGTATGTGGCTGGCGCCTTAGCCGCTTGAACCACAGACGCCGAGCCAGACTCTTCAAATATCTTTAATAAAACAATAATCAATGCCAGTAAAGAGTGCTTTTAAAAACAAGTATTCTTTTCATTAGAAATATGGCATATGTAGCCAGAGGCATAAAATATCAATGCCTTTTCAACTAATAGGATTTAATATAAAGATATAAACAAATCTAGATAGAGGAAAAAAACAATAAAGTTAAGTGGAAAACATCAAATACGATAAAGATGAACAATTTACGTTTATACTGCAATAAAGACTATGGAAGAAATGCCTTGAAATAAGGAACAAAATAATAAGAACAATGTTATTAAGTGCCTTTTCTTTTTTTGAGACAGAGTCTCACTATATTCCCCTGGGTAGAGTGGTGTGGTGTCACAGTTCACAGCAACCTCAAACTCTTGGGCTTACTTGATTCTCTTGTCTTAGCTTCCTGACTAGCTGGGACTACAAGTGCCCACCACAATACCCAGCTATTTTTTTGGAGACAGGGGTTGGGGGTGTGTGTGTCTCACTCTTGCTCAGGCTGGTCTCAAATCTGTGAGCTCAGGCAATCCACTTGCCTAGGCCTCCCAGAGTGCTAGGATTATAGGCATGAGCCACTGGGCCTGGCTATGAAATTCTTAAAATTGAGTTCTGCTAATATTACATGATTTTTTAAAAATTCATACTTTAAAGCAACACACTGATAAAGGCAAATGCACCATATTTTGCATAAAACTATCAACAGTGATGGCACAAGGATCTCCCCTTGAGAACCCTGGGATTCTCAAGGTGTAAGGGCCTTCTATAGACAAGGTAACTATCAGAAGCACATAGAGAAGATCAGAGCTGGAAAGAAACTGGAGAATTATTTATTTCAAACTTCTTCATTTTACATTGGGAGAAAACTAAAATTCACAGAGTTATGATTTCTCAAAGCCACTCACCAGTTAATAAGGGCACAGTACCAGATGCAAGATCTGGCTCTCAGTGTTCTTTTAAAGAAGATTTAAGCATTCCTATCTGTTAGAAAAATTTACAACGTAACAAGAACATAATACACACAGATAAATACATACACACACACAGAATTACTTCTAAAATAAATGTGAAGGGTGGAAGAACCCTGCATTTTTATAATTTTGCAATTTACTAAGAATTGCAAAATAAGCCATCCAGTATTCATAACAGGCTTTCCTTAACCAATCCCCACGGTGGGGTGGACATCTAGGTTATTCCCAACTATCTGCTTTTATTATTAGCCATTATAATGCTGAAAAACTGGAAACAACCTAAATGCTCAGCAATAGTATAAGCATTAATTCTCTGTACTATTAAATATCCATTTAAAAACAAGAAGTTGAAGACCTGAGGCTTTGCTAGTTCTGCAAAATTAAGTTAAAAACATTTTGCTCAGTATAATCTCTTTGAAAATACGTATTCAAGAAAAGTTTAGATTCTTTCATAGTTCGTAAGCGTGATGATTGGGTTTTCATGTGCATGCATGAGATGTGCCTCCCATAAATCTTGTTACGACGTCAGCACATTACCCATCTGACACGAGGAAAAAAAAAAGTCTAGCCAAGTGGGTTAGGATGATTAAAAAAAAAGATTAATCATTATGTTTATTTATTTTTTCTTTTTTGGGAGATAGGGTCTTGCTCTGTCACCAAGGCTAGAGCAGTGGCATGATCACAGCTCACAGCAACCTCAAACTCTCCATTTTAAGCAATACTCCTGCCTCAGCCTCCCAGACAGTTGGACTATAGGCGAATGCCACCATGTCCAGCTATGTATTTAATTTTAACTTTTTAGTAGAGACAGTGTCGCATTATGTTGCTCTGGCTGGTCTTAAATTCCAGGCCTCAGGCTATCCTCCTGTCTCAGCCCCCAAAAGTACTATGATTAAAGGAGTGAGCCATCTTGCCTGGCCTGCATTTTATTTTTTTATTATGACTGCAGATATCATGCATAGACATTTTTCTTTCTTTCTTTTTTTTTTTTTTTTTTTGAGACAGACTAATTTTGTCATCCTGGGTAGTGTGCTGTGGCAAACAACCTCGAATTCTTCAGCTCAAGCGATCCCCTAGCCTCAGCCTCCCAAGTAGCTGGGATTACAGGCGCCAGCCACAACACCTGGCTATTTTTAGAGACAGGAGTTTCTCAGTGGCTCAAGCTGGTCTTGAACTCCTGAGCTCAGGCAATCCACCTGCCTCAGCCTCCCAGAGTGGTAAGATTACAGACATGAGCCACTGTACCTGGCCTGCATAATTTTTTTTTTTGACAGAACCTCAAGCTATCCCCCTGGGTAGAGTGCTATGGCATCACAGCTCACAGCAACCTCCAACTCCTGGGCTCAAGCAAGTCCCCTGCCTCAGCCTCCCAAGTAGTTGGGACCACAGGCACCCACCATAACACCCGGCTATTTTTTGGTTGCGGCTGTCATTGTTGTTTTGGCGGGCCCAGGCTGGATTCCAACCCGCCACCTTAGGTGTATGTGGCTGGCACCTTAGCCACTTGAGCCACAGGCACTGAGCCCATAAACATTTTTTCAACAATAAAAATTATAAAGCATTATAATACAAAAAAATGTTCAGAGAAAAAGATAGAATATAAAATTGTAAAAATCATAAATAAGAACCAACTTTTTTAAAAGGCAAGAAAGATAGCTACTTCCACTTTTCCAAGTTCTTTATATTTCCTCTGATGAGCTCATTAGAATTCTAAAAAGTTTCAGGAGTGGTATCACTGGGTCAAAGAACACTAGCTTTAACTCTAAGTTTACGGAGTCCTAACAATTTATACCAGCAAAGTCCTTGGCTACATGAGCAACTCTCTCACCTTAAAGCAATTCTCATCTGACATAAGCTGCTCGGCTTTCCGCTGATACGTTGACTCCAGGAGGCTCCTTGAAGTCTGTGTGTTTAGCTGGCCTCCGGTGGCCCCATTATTATTTTCTGCCAGGTAAAGGTCAGTCACCTGCACACAGATCTCATCACTTACAATGTGCTGAAGCTGGAATGAAGTGGAGGCAAGTTGTTAATCAAGAAACTATTTTTTCCTGTTATACCTTCCTTTAATCCAGTCATTTAATTCAAAAAAGGGTTTTTGGGGGGGCTGATAATTTTAGAAAATCAATCACAGAAACCATTGTTATTTTCTTGGAGAATAACCAAGCCAAGATTGTCAACCATATATCACTAGTCCATGAATAATAAAACTTCTATATCTATTTAAAAGCAAACCCAAGTAACTTAGGTTAATGGATCACTTACTTAAAATTCTAAGGATCTGTAAATTTACATTTGATCCTCAAACTACCCTGGGAAACAGGCTGAAGAGGTAGGGTATGTGCTGTTATGAGACAGATTCACATTACTTGGGAAAACTCACTGTGTAAGCTGGGGTGGAGAGGAGCCTATGTAGGTCCATGTCATGTTGCCCATAGTGCAGTGGAGAGCAGTAGTGTCAGCTTAGTTCACAGCAACCTCAAACTCTTGGGCTCAAGCAATCCTCCTGCCTCAGCCTCCTGAGTAGCTGGGACTACAGGTACCTGCCACAAAGCTGGGCTAATTTTTTCTATTTTTAGTAGAGACAGGGTCCCCCCTTCTCAGGGTAGACACGAACTCCTGAGCACAAGTGATCCACCTCGGTCTCCCGGAATGTTAGAATTATAGAGTGAGCCACTTCACTGAGCCAAAGTAACTCACTTTCTTTTTGTTTTGTTTTGTTCTTGATTCTCAGATCACCTTCGGTAGAGTGCTGTAGCATCACAGCTCACAGAAACCTGCAATTCTTGGGCTTAGGTGATTCTCTTGCCTCAGCCTCCCAAGTTGTTGGGACTACAGGCACCGGCCACAATACCGGCTATTTTTCTGATGCAGTTTGGCTGGGGCTGGGTTCAAACCTGCCACTCTCAGTCTACGGAGCCAGTGCCCTACCTGCTGAGCCACAGGCACTGCCCTAAAGTAACTAACTTTCAATACAGGCCAGCCATGCAATGCTAGCTCACAATTGATAACTTTTATGAGAATCTTATTTAACTACCTGATTATAAAGTTAAACCTTTCAGTTCATAGGGAATGAAGTCCCATTCTCTTTTTTTCTTTTGAGATGGAGCCTCAAGCTATCCCCCTGGGTAGAGTGCCATGGCATCACGCTCACAGCAACCTCCAACTCCTGGGCTCAAGCGAGTCTCCTGCCTCTGCCTCCTAAGTAGCTGGGACTACAGGCACCCGCCACAAAGCCTGGCCATTTTTTGGTTGCAGCCATCATTGTTGTTTGGCGGGCCCAGGCTGGGGATACGAATCCGCCACCTTAGGTGTATGTGGCTGGCGCCTTAGCCGCTTGAGCCACAGGCACCGAGCCGGAAGTCCCATTCTCAAAGGTCATATGGTATTTCTATTTGAAATAAAAATTCCTACAAATGAAACTTTACCCATCAAAATGACAGAGAATGTGAAAAACAGAAGTAAAACATTAATTTTAATATTAATGGGTCTATTTTGCTTTAAAATTCTCATAACCACCAAGCCATCCTACTTGTAGGAAGGTACATTCTTTTCTTTTTTTGAGACAGTCTTACTATCTTGCCCTTTAGGTAGAGTGCCGTGGCATCACAGCTCACAGCAACCTCCAACTCTTGGGTTTAAGCGATTCTTTTGCCTCAGCCTCTCAAGTAGCTGGGACTACAGGTGCCCACCACAATGTCTGGCTATTTTTTGGCTGTAGTTGTCATTGTTGTTTGGCAGGCCCGGGCTGGATTCAAACTCACCATGTATGTGGCTAGCACCCTAGCCTCTGAGTACAGGTGCTGAGCTGGTACATTGTTTTTGAAGTGTAACTATAACTACTTATTTTTAACATTAAAGTGTTCAATGACAATTATGTGTATTAGTAGATAACTGGACACAGGGCAAGGTCAGAAGGGTGAGTGACCTGTGGGTGGCAGAAAGGGCTCCAGCAACTGCAGAAGGTTAAATAAATTACAATCAAATGAAAATACTGCCTTTGATGACTTGGTAACATAGGGAAAAGCTTAAGATATAGCGTTTAAGAGAAAACAAGTATACCCAAAGCATGATCTCTACTATGTACATAATTCTCCTGCTTCACATTTTCTTATCACACCTTCTTTTTAGATATCTGGCCCCTTCCTTAGTCTGTAGGAAGGGCAGCACTACAAGTCTGGGACAACCAGGCAAGACCCGCCCCATGCCTGGCTGGTGAGATTTTCTCTCCTGCTAATTTGAAATGACACACACTCTCTCTATCTGGGAGATTTTCATCAGAGGAGCATCTGTATGGAAAAGCCAAGTAATGCTGGGACCAGAGGCACCACTGTGGCAAGCCAAAGCCTTATGTCCACATGAAGAGAGAAGTGCAGCAATGGGGAACAAGTCTAGGACGAAGGCATGCAGGAGAGAGAACAAAATTTGTAGCCCAGTCTTTACATGGTGTGGCCATATTTTGAGTTCTGTGCACAGATGTATGTGACACAGCCTATTCTGTTCTGAAAATGAATCCCTCTTAAATCAGCCTGGAAAAGGTAAAATAAATGTATGGCTTTGACTTGAAATATACGTTCTACTAGTCTGGGGGAAATACCTAATGAGTTGAGGAAAATGAGAAAAGAGATGCCTCCAACTGAGGGAGTTAAGATGGGAAGCTTGGATATGTTTTAAAACATCAATGATTCTGGGTTTTTTGGATGAAACCTGTTTCTATAAAAAAAAAAAAAGAGTTGAGACCAAATATATTACTGACTCAAAATCTTAACTAGATGCTTCTAGTAAATGAACTAATTGTATCTTTTAACTTTTTTTTTTTTGGCAGTTTTTTGGCTAGGGCTGGGTTTGAACCCCTCACCTCCAGCATATGGGGCTGGCATCCTACTCCTTTGAGCCACAGGCACTGCCCTAATTGTATCTTTTATTTCAAAAACCAACCTCAGGCTTATGAAACATGTTTTATTGGGCTACTTTTTCTTGAGACAGAGTTTCTGTTGTCTGGGCTAGAGTGTCATGGCGTCAATCTAGCACACAGCAACCTCCAATTCCTGGGCTCCAGTGGTCCTCTCGCATCAGCCTCCCAAATAGCTGGGATAACTATAGGTGCATGCCTCCACACCCAGCTAATCTATTTTTAGTAGAGACGGGATCTTGCTTTGCTCAGGCTGATCTAGAACTCCTGAACTCCCTCAAGTGATCCTCTGATCTTGGCCTCCCAGAATGCTAGGGTTATAGATATGAGCCACCCTAAACCTCTGGGAGGCACTGTCTACTGGAGTTCTTTTAAAGCTGTGCTGGTGGCTGGGCATGGTGGCTCACGCCTATAATCCTAGCATTCTGAGAAGCCAAGGCAGGTTGATTGCTTGCGCTCAGAAGTTCGAGAACAGCCTGAGCAAGTCTTCAAAAATAGCTGGGCGTTGTGGTAGGCGCTTATAGTCCCAGCTACTCAGGAGGCCGAGGCAAGAGAATTGCTTGAGCCCAAGAGTTTGAGGTTGCTATGAGATACAATGCCATAGCACTCTACTGAGGGTGACAAAAGTAAGACTGTCTCCAAAAAAAAAAAAAAAGCCATGCTGGTGACATGGAAGACTTTGTTTCTAGCTGTAATAACAGCAAACTTATGAGCAAAAACAACTTAAGTACAGGGTAATTGGAATCTCTAGTTTATACAAATTTAAGTGAAGTTAATAGAGATTAGTCCTCTCAAAAATTATGTCTACTGGCTTGGTGCCTGTGGCTCAGCAGCTAGGGCACCAGCCACATACACCAGAGCTGGTGGGTTTGAATCCAGCCTGGGCTTGCCAAACAACAATGACAACTACAACCAAAAAAAAATTATGTCTACAGCTGACTGTATCTGTGTAATGATTTCTTTTCTTTTTTTTTTTTTAAATTGTTGGTGATTCACTGAAGGTAGTGTGTAATGATTTCCTATAGTCACCAGGCCTAATAACTAACTTTTAGGGATAAACTATTTGCCTTACAACTTTCCCCAAGATGCCAAAGTTCATTTATGGTGAAGTACTCCTCCTCAATCCTTAGATTCTGTGGGAGGGATAGAGAGGCATGTACCCATCCAAAACTAAGGCAAAGGCATGGGCACTTTTGAAAGGATTCAACATTTAGCCCAAGAGAACACTAACTAGCTTTTCCCTTTCATAGTGGCACTGTGGACACTAGAATTAGAATTTGCTTTTTATAAGTTTTTGCTTTTAAAAAGTAGTACACCACCTTTCTTATCAGCTGTTCTATGGAGAAGGGCTGTAGGCAACCATGGCACTCACCTAGAATGGCATTAACCTAAAGTCCCACTTTGTGAGGACCAGCAGAACTATACAGTCACATGGTTTAACCAGCCACCAGTAACCACAAGGCTTCCCAAAGCATGCCACATTGCCCTGTCCTTGTATCTGAACCCATCTGACCCAGAGTAAGGTATTCCACAGTGAGGTATCACACCAAAGTACAAGCTGGCAAGGGCTTCACCTTAGAAGAGTTAAGGGTGGCTGGCAGTCAGAAGAAGGTGGCCTGGACCACTGGTATTTCTATGGACCCAAAAACAAGTCCACTGAGTCCCTGGACGCCAATGTTCAGCAGCTGAGAGAGTACTGCTCCATACTCATCCTCTGCTTCAGGAAGTCTCCAAGAGAAGGTAACTTTAACTGGCCACCCAGCTGACAGAATGCCAGACACAGGATGTCTACAGGGAGAAAGTCACAACCTTCAATGAGGAAGAAAAGAACTTCAAGGTTTCACATGGCCTGTGTCAATGCCCAGGCTCTTCTGCATGTGAGCAAAAAGAGCCAAGGAAGCTGCAGAACAGGATGTTGAAAAGAAAAAAGAAAGCCTTATTGGAGACATAATAAAACAAAGATAAAATTTGGTCTCAAAACCAAAAAAAAAAAAGTCACACTCCAGCAATGGACTCTGATCTCTTTAAGAGTTCAGAATTCAAGTCCAAAGATTAGAAACCTATGTGTTATAAGCTATTTGTTAAAAAGATATCACTGTTATAAAGACTATATATTTAGAACCTCCCAGGGTACAACAGGAAAAAAACACAAAACCAACCAAAATATTCTGAGAAAGAAATTCCAAACAGCGAGGTGGGCAAAGTACTGTAAAAGATTTATATAAAGCCTTTCCCGTAAGAAGAATTTCAAATATTAAACAAAGTTAAGTGTATAGAATAACAACTCCTAAGGAAGAGGAAACATTACACACTGTGTGCTCATCCTGGTGGACGAGGTAACATATGGGCCAACAGGGAGGGAGCTGGGGTCAGGACCATTGTACTGCCCACAGGCAGCCCCCCAGAAAGGGTCTGAGGGTAGGGCCACACTAAGGGCACAACAAGAAAAGTAAAGGAGCCAATTATGTGCCTGGAACACTCTCATTTTGTTAACAGGAGAACTGAGGACATCACATTAACCCCCTCTTCCTGTCTTCAGAATGATATACTCATAAACACTGTTACAGGAGAAAGCTACCTTTCCTTTCTAATAGAAATTCTGCCATTTCTTTCCCTGATCCACTGTCAAGTAAGGAATTTTTCCCAGACCCACTCTAGCTCCACATGCCCTCACCTGTCTGACAATGCTCTGGATCAGTTTGTCCATGGTAAAGGCAATGTAGGCATGAATGGTGAACATCTCTCTCAGGGAATCTTCATACTGTGACGAGTCTATGTTGCCATCCAGCAGGCTCCGCACCATGTCCAGGAATGCTGGGTAATAATCTTCTACATCAACATCCACTGTGGGAGAGATGGATAGGTGAGGGCTTATCCTACTAAGAAAAGGAGGAAGCTAGAGTGCAAGCAACCCTACAGCTAGCCTAAATGACATCTGAAAGAATACTAGGTATTCAAAACATGCCCACTCTATCCACTATGGACAGATGAAACCTGACAGGTGGCTACAATCACTAGCACTGCCTGTCAGAGGAAAAGTGACTCTGCAACTTCTAACATTTTGACTGTCCATGCTAGAAAAACACTTCTTTATAGCATTGCTGGCTCTGCATGACAGGAGAAGAAAACATTCCAGGGAAGCTAGTCCTTCAAAAAGTTGTTGGCTCCTCTGCTGAGAGAGGAACCTGTTCTTTCAGCCTGTACAAGAACAAGACATGGGTCACTTGTTCCTATAGCTATTTCAATGAAGCATAAATTGCAGATGAGAAAAGGCAGACACAGCCATACCCTAGCGCTGGGAAACCTCTCAAAAAGAAAAAAATAGCTGTGCAAATTAAATTCTGTATGAATAATAAAGTAATCTGCATTTGTCAAAGTCCTTTTGTTTAAAAATGGATTTGCAACACTGTCTTCACAAATTGCATTAAATGATCTGTACTTGCTATACATGATTCATTTCAACCACTGGCTAAAATAAATCTTATCAGTTGTTAACAGAGACACCTGGCCAACTAGCAGAGGGCACAAGGAATGGTGCAAGAGTCCTGCCTTTGGCTTACTAAAATAAGATTCATTTATATAAAGTTCAAAAACAGGCTGATCTAATCTCTAGTGTTAGAAAGCAAGATAGTGGTAAGAGGCTATTGGGGTACTGGTTATGTTCTGGGTCTTTTTTCTTTTTGAAAGACATAAGGTCTCACTTTGTTGCTCATGATGGAGCACAGTGGTGCAGTCATAGCTTGGTGCAGCCTTGAACTCCTGGGCTCAGGCAACCCTTCCACCGCAACCTCCTGAGTAGCTAGTACTACAGGCAGGACACCATACCTAGGTATTTCTTTAGAAAACAAACAAACAAAAAAACTTTTAAAAGATGGGGTCTGGCTGTATTGCCCAGTCTGGTCTTAAATGATTCCCCTGCCCTGGCCTCCCAAAATGCTGGGATTAGAGATGTGAGCCGTGGAACCTGGCTTTCTTAAGACAGGGTCTTACTATGTCGTCCAGGCTGGCTTTATGTAATCTTTCTGCTGTAGTCCTCCCAAGCAACCGATAGGTGCACTGCAGTGCCCAGCTCCTCTAGGTTTCTTGCTCTGTGTTTTGAACACAGGTGGGTTTATGCTGCAAAAATTCACTGAGCTGTACAATTCTGTCTTGTATATTTTATATATGTTGCACCTCGATAAAAAGTTGGCTAAAAAAAAATTATCATCAACTAACTGGTTACCATCTGTTTGTACTGGGGACAAAGGCTAAGAGCAAAACTGAGTCTACCTCCATTTATCTGAAGTATGAAAGAATCACTAAAGAAAGGACAACAGGAAAATTGTTAAAATAAGCAACCAGTTTGCGTTCATCACAGAATATTACTTTGTTTAGTCCTACAGAATAGAGATGAGCCTCTGAAATATGCTGTGACTATGAAAAATGTCTTATGCCAGAATAAAGCTTTGACTCCAAACCACAGACTGTATACACAAGCTATGATTAAGGTGAGGGTTGGCATTATCACCCAAGACCAAATTATGTAAACCTCAAACCAGGTCGAGTCAGTAGTCAAGCCAATATTAGGCCATTTTATCTCTTAATTTCTACCCAAGCAGATGGAATCACCAAAAAGAGGCACAAAATTTGTGTCTTTCAAGCTACAACTAACCCAGACAGGGGCTTTTAGAATTAATTTTCTTTTTTTTTTTTTTTTTTTTTTTTTTAAGACAGAGCCTCAAGCTGTCCCCCTGGGTAGAGTGCCCTGGCATTACAGCTCACAGCAACCTCCAACTCCTGGGCTCAAGCGAGTCTCCTGAGCCTCCCAAGTAGCTGGGACCACAGGCGCCCGCCACAACGCCCGGCTATTTTTTGGTTGCAGCCGTCATTGTTGTTTGGCGGGTCCAGGCTGGGGATTCGAACCCGCCACCTTAGGTGTACGTGGCTGGCGCCTTAGCTGGTTGAGCTATAGGCGCCGATCCAGAATTAATTTTCAGTATCATTAAGATCTTCAAGAGATAGGTAGCTAAGGCCATACATGAGCTTTCTACATAAGCTAAACTTTAAAAAAAGAAAAAAAAGATACACTCCTCAGATTGGCTATTTCCTCAAGAGCCCTGAAGAAAGACTTCATGAAACAGCTTTTCCTTCACAGTTCAAGTACCTAATTTATGAACTGAACTGTCATCTAGAAGTAGCACAGAATTACTGCAAATGATGATTTCCTTAACGCACGCTTAGACTCCTATTCCTGAGTTCTCTATCTTCTTTCCTGTTCATCCTTTTCTACTGTGTCTCACATCATCTCTTAAGTTCCAATCTCCTTTCCATAACTATTTCTACTTATTAGCAATGAGCCAATGAACCTTATTGGTTAAATAGAAGTCCTGTCCAAACACATATGAGAAAATTCTCATCTGTCTTAGCCATGGATAAGCAGGAATTTACATTCTTTCATAGAGTGGAATGATTATGACATTTTGGTTCCTGTCTGTCCTTGGACTTTGCAGTAACCCAAAGACCTGCCATTTGGGAAACAAATGGCAATTGATACTAAGTCAGTACTAACTGCTGACTGATTATCCATGATCACAGCACTATACAGGGTGCTTTGCAAAAGTAACTACTCAAGGCAACAAGCAGTACCCCACAAGAATTAATTTTGTACACAAACAGATTCAGAGTTTTAAGTAAGGCCACGCAACAAGTAAATTGCAGAACCCAACTAAAGGTCTAAGGCCTACGCTCTCTTCACAAAAGAGCACTCTTGAGTCTAACTTGGTTCTGAGGTCTTCAACCCTACACATCCTCCATAAACCTATAATAAAAGCAACTCACTAGGTTCTTTGAGACGTAGCTGGATGGCGGGGCTGTCACTCTTGTCACGTTTTATGCCCAGCACTTCCCGTTCCCACTCTCTCTCTCGGTTTTCCTCTTCAATTTGTCGTTCCGCTTGGGAACAAATCCGCAGAAGCCTCAAGCAGAGAATCTGGTGCAGCCGCATAAAGATATACCAGTTGTTATTGACGTAGAAGAGATTGTATACTTCATCCATGCCTCTTAATTTTTGAGCTGCTGTATTATTAAACATTAGCTTGGACTTAGGGGGACTGCCCCCAACACCATTGTGCTTCTTAGCTGCCCCTGTAGCCTCATCTACATCCATCTCCTCTTCTTCCTCTTCTTCCACATCCGAGAGATCACCTCTCTGAGCAAAGAGCAGATCCGGAATGAAATGATGCATGATTTGCTTGATTTTGTATTTGTCCTCCTTCTGAATGCCTGTCTGTCTCTTTACGTGGTGGATGATCAGAGCAGCAGCGTCCTCCAGTATTTGTTTATCTTCATAAGCAAGTGAGAGGTGTGGGCCGACAGGTACACCAGCATTCTCTTCTGTAGCCTGCTCTTGCCTCTGATAAGAGAGACACACAAAAGTATTCTATGATCCATCTATAGCAAAAATAATGCCTATCAAACTATACTAGAAGCACCTTCTAGTCTTAACCATAGTGGCTATATTTTTCCAATCTAAACTTAGGACCTGACCTTACCAATTTTTGTGCTTTTTCCAGAAACAAATGGATAATATGGGATACATGGTTTTATGCCAAAATATTGGTACTTCTAAATTTTATTAGGATAGTGGGACAGAATTGGGACTATCTTTTAAAATCCTAAATTAGGATTTATGGAAAATGATGTGAGGTCTGGAATTCACATTAAAATACTTCTGGGGTGTGTAAAGAGTAACGATGTAAATATTAGCAAAACATAGATGATTACATTTATGTAGGAATTTTTTTAGACAGAGTCTCAAGCTGTCACCCAAGTGCCACAGTATCCTAGCTCACAGCAACCTCCAACTCTTGGGCTTAAGCAATCCTCTTGCCTCAGCCTCTCAAGTAGCTGGGACCACAGGTGCCCACCACGACACCCGGCTATTTTTTTTTTTTGGTTGCAGCCATCATCGTTGTTTGGTGGGCTGGGCTGGATTGGAACCCGCCACCTTAGGTGTATGTGGCTGGCGCCTTAGCCATTTGAGCCAGAGGCGCTGAGTCAGTTTTTCTATTTTTAGTAGAGTCGGGTCTCACTTTTGCTCAGGCTGGTGTTGAATTTGTGACCTCAAACAATTCACCCGTCTCAGCCTCCCAGAGTGCTAGGATTACAGGTGTGAGCCACCACGCCTGGCCAGAACTAAATTTTTTTTTTTTGGCCTGGCTAGCATGTAGTGGTGACATCATACCTCACAGCTGTCTCCAACTCCTGGGCTCAAGTGACTCTCCTGCCTTAGCTTCCCAAGTAGTTGCGACTATAGGCTCACAACACCTTGTCTAACTAATTTTTCTATTTTTTATAAGGACAGAGTCTCGCTCTTGCTTAGGTCTAGTCTTGAACACCTGACCTCTAAATATAACTCCCCGCCCACCCTCCATCTTAAACTACCAAGAATACAAATGTGCGCCACATTCCCTAGCTTTTTTTTTTGAGACAGATTCTCACTATGTCACTCTCGGTAGAGTACTGTGATGTCACAGCTCATAGCAACCTCTAACTTTTGGGTTTAAGCAATTCTCTTGCCTCAGCTTCCCAAGTAGCTGAGACTACAGGTGCCCGCTACAATGCCAGGCTATTTTTTGTTGCAGTTGTCATTGTTGTTCAGCTGGCCCAGGCTGGGTTTGAACCCACTAGCCTGGGTGTATGTGGCTGGCGCTGTAACCACTGTGATGCCATAGCACTCTACACAGGGGGACAGCTTGAGGCTCTGTCTGGGGGGGGGGGGGAGCAGTACAAAGAATTTGGGTGTTAACAGGAAGTCGTTAAGGTGTAGTAAGCTGGAATGGTCTACATGAATACAAAGTATTTGAGAAAAACAGATGAGAGAAGTAGAAGACAGAAGTAGGAGGTATAAACTGAAGCCAGGATGATAAATTAGGAAACTAGTCAAACAGCTTAGGTACAAAGGTAAGATTTATAAATGGTAGAAGCAGGGCCGGGTATGGTGGCTCACGCCTATAATCCTAATACTTTGAGAGGCCGAGGCAGGTGAATTGCCTCAGCTCACAGGTTTGAGACCAGCCTGAGCCAAAGCAGACCTCATCTCTAAAAACAACTGGGCGGTATGGCAGGCACCTCTAAGTCCCAGGAGGGAGGCTGAGGGAAGAGAGTCACTTGAGCCCAAGAGTTTGAGGTTACTGTGAGCTATAATGCTATGGCAGACTTCTACCAAGGGCGACAAAGTGAGACTCTGCCTCAAAAAAAATAAAACAAGGCTCGGCGCCAGTCACATACACCTGAGCTGGTAGGTTTGAATCCAGCTCAGGCCCTCCAAACAACAATGATGGCTGCAACCAAAAAGTAGCCAGGGATTGCAGCAGGCGCCTTGTAGTCCCAGCTACTTGGGAGATGGAGGTAGGAAAATGGCTTGAGCCTAGGAGTTGGAGGTTGCTGTGAGCTGTGATGCCACAGTACCCTACCGAGGGTGACATCTTAAGGCTCTGTTTCAAAAAAATAAAAAATAAAAGTAAAATGGTAGAATCAGCAATAGAAAAGCCTACTATAGTTACGATGTAAGAATGAATAGGGCTTGGAGAGTCTCAAATATAACAAAGGTAATTTCCAGGAATCAAACTATGCTGAACATAATGACTAGAGTCCTTTCATGGATATAGAAATCCTGCTCACCTCATCATAGATACTCTCAATCTCATTGAGTAAGCTCTTAGACCTCAAGACCTTGGTGTCATTCTGTTTAAAGTTGATGCCCTGGTGGTCCAGAGACTTCAAGTAGTATTTCTCATTTTGTTCTCGCCACACCTTGTTAAAGCCTCTCTGAGCTTCTCGCCATTCTTCCTCTTTCATCTTCAACCTAGTGGGATGAGAAGGGAAACGGAAACAACATTTGGCAATTCAGAGGGCTTAGATATAAAAAATATTTCAGGCTTACTTTATGTTAAAAGTCAAAATTATTCTAGGTCTGTTGAAATTGTGCCAGTAAGCACTCCTTGAAAACCACATTCTCTTTCTCAGGCAGCAAAAACAAAGTTAAAGAAGTTTCTTTGCTACAGGACTTCTTTTTTTTTTTGAGACAGAGCCTCAAGCTGTTCCCCTGGGTAGAGTGCCGTGGCATTACAGCTCACAGCAACCTCCAACTCCTGGGCTCAAGCGAGTCTCCTGCCTCTGCCTCCCAAGTAGCTAGGACCACAGGCGCCCGCCACAACGCCCGGCTATTTTTTGGTTGCAGCCGTCACTGTTGTTTTGGCGGGTCCAGGCTGGGGATTCGAACCCGCCACCTTAGGTGTACATGGCTGTCGCCCTAGCCGGTTAAGCCACAGGCGCCGAGCCTGCTACAGGACTTCTGAGAACGTTTACCATGCTAAAGGAAACAGCAGAGAATTTGCACAGTCTGGAAAGTCCTGATCAGAGCAACTGATTCTAATATTCCAGAAGAGGATATAGTAAAATCCAAAAAGAGCACTAGGACTGAAGAATAACTTATATCTCAAAAGCCAGAATTTAAGTTAAATACTAGCAACAAGAAGAGGAAACTCTGGAGTCCTTTTTCTGTTTTTTTTTTTTTTGTTGTTGCAGTTTTTGGCCAGGGCTGGGTTTGAACCCACCACCTCTGGCATATGGGGCTGGTGCCCTACTCCTTTGAGCCACAGGAGCCGCCCTGGAGTCCTTTTTTATTTTCTGAAAAATCACTCTTGGGACTGCCGTCCTCGCTGCTGAGGCATATGCCCCAGCCCCTGCACTACCCCTGCTGCTGCCTGGGCAGGGGGAAGTGGGGGCACAGTGTTTGTAATTATTAAACATGAATTCAATTTAAAAAAAAAGAAGAGGAAACTGTTAATATGTGCCAATTCTCGAGGGGAATATTAGTGAAGAAAAATAAAATCTGAGCATTTGTTAACTAATTTTCACAAGGTGATACCAAGAAAAGACCTCAGCTCTGAGTAAAGGATTCATTGTTGTCAAAAGAGTGACATGGATTCAGGGGACATTGTGGCTGAGCCTAGTCTCTGGCTGCCTACTTGATGCCTGGCCTTAGGTGGGTTGAACCCCTTTATAACTACTTAAGTCTGACTTTAATAAGTCCCACAAGGAATTATTATGAAAGAGACATCCTTGGTAAAAATAATTAACCAAATCTTATTTTATAATGAACATATATCACATTTTACAAAGACAAATAATGATCTTCCTTATTAAAATACAAAGATGCTAATAACAGTTAGCACAAGTAATAGAAACATGGGTGGTTTTTTCTTTGTTTTTTTCCTGTATTTTAAAATACCCACTCAAACATACAGAGCATTCCACCACGAACTTCAGGGTTAGTTCTCTAAAGTTCATTACACACAATCCCAGTAAGATAATCCACTCTGAACCTGAATTCCAATGACTAGGGGTAGTGAGAAAGGTCTCATGGGACAACTAGATTGAATATGAGAGTATTATTTAATGAGACACTATACCTGTCGTGAAATATACTCAAGCAAGAAGGGCATATTTGCTCAGGTACCTTTTAAGGACAATTGGAACAGCAATGGAGGGGTTCTTCCTCAGACCATCAATGATGTCAGCTGCTTTATCAGCATATATCCTTTGGAGTGCTTTTCGATGGATAACTTCTGACGTGCCCCCAAGGGTGTTGTCCAAGCGAAATTTGGCTTGTTCTTCAGCAGACAAGCGGGAAAGCTTCTTTTGTATTGCTTCTAGAACCCGAATTGTTGCCAGATTGGTCTCTAAAACTACGTCAAGCTAAAGTGGAAGACAAAGAAGAGTGTTCAGGACCCCAATCACAATATAGTAGTGGTCAGGAGAATAAAATAAGGAGTCAAAACTCTCTGTATTTGAATCTTGGCTTGGCCACATTGGCCATATGAGGCTGTTTCCTTATCTATAAAACAGGGACAGCAGCACCTGCTACTCTCATAAGGTTGTTTTCTAGAGTAAATGACACCATCCATACAAGAGTGTTTAGCACAATGCCTGGCACATAAGAAATAACACAATTAAGATGGATAAGTGGTAGTTATTATCTCTATTACTGCCACCACCACAGTGTGCTTTGCTTATGGCGGCTGATTCGGCACCAGAGGAACCAACAGTAGACAATTAACTTTCCTGAAATCACCTCAAAGGACCACACAAGACTATAAATCAAGTCTAAATTTGGCATAACTTGAAATATTTAAAAATACTCAAACATTTAAATATTGGATAGCTTTGTTCCACATCTAGTAGTAATAAGAGCAGTGATTACTATTCCTTAAAGAGCTCAGTGCTGTATCTGTGGGTAACCATTTAAGTTCTTACTGAACTCCTGGCACTTATTTTCTGGCAGTGGCCTAGCCTGTCCTAGTTAAAGAAATGACTACCCACCTTTGAGTCTACTTTTTCTAGGCTTAACACAAGATTATCCAAATGAGAAACAGAAAATGAAGTAAACAAGCAATCTCAAGGGCCTATACCAAATGCTAGTACAAGTGTTTCCCTATGATTTTTTGTTTTGGGTTGGTGGTTGACATTTTGTTAATATTTGTGGCCTCCCTGCTCCTCAAGTATGAATAAGTAATGAACTCAACTTCCCAGCTCCCTTATGATTGGATAGACCATGTAACTAGTTCTGACAAATGAGTTATGATGAGATGAGCAGCAGTAACGTGTATTACTTCTAGGCTTAAGTATTTAAAGGTGTGAGAGCTTTCTGAGCCTTCTTTTCCCTCTGGTGTCTAGCAATATTCATGATGGTGGCACTCTTTCATTGTGGGTCCCCAAATAATTCTGATGAGCAAAATTCCTGCTAAATATCAATGCACATATAGAATGATGAAAAGAAATAAATCCTTTGTTTTTAAAAGGCATTGAGATCTGGGGGTTGTCTGTACTGCAGTATTACTAACCTATTATGACTGATAAAGGGACAGTCCCTACAAACTAGCTTATCGCATCAAACCCTAAGTACTGCACACACTACACTTCTTTCATCTTGACATTTGAAGTCACAGATGAGAATAAGGATGCTGCCTCTAATTTGCAGGCATGCCAGTTGAGAAAGAATAGAACATCCTATCAACAAGAGATACTATGCTTGGTTTTTTGTTTGTTTTGTTTCTAAAGAAATCAGGTCTTGCTCTGTCACCTGGATGGCTATAGTGCAATGATCATAGCTCGCCACTGTCTAAATTGCTTGGGTTCAAGTGATCCTCCTGTCACAGCCTCCTAAGTAGTTGAGATTATAGGTGTGATCCAACATGCTCAGCCCAAGTTTTGCTTTTTTTTTTTTTTTTGAGGCAGAGCCTCAAGCTGTCCCCCTGGGTAGAATGCTGTGGCATCACAGCTCATAGCAACCTCCAACTCCTGGGTTCAAGCGAGTCTCCTGCCTCTGCCTCCCAATCCCAAGTAGCTGGGACCAGGGGCACCCGCCACAATGCCTAGCTATTTTTTTTGGTTGCAGCCATCATTGTTGTTTGGCGGGCCTGGGCTAGATTCAAACCTGCCATCTTAGGGGTTTGATATGGCTGGCACCTTAACCACTTGAGCCACAGGCGCCGAGCCCCAAGTTTTGCTTTCTAACTTATTATCTTCTAAACTTACTAAATATAGGTAATAAAGAATTGATTTCTTTTCCTTTTTTTTTTTTTGAGACAGAATCTCACTCTGTCACCCTGGGTAGAATACCAGGGCATCATCATAGCTCATCGCAACCTCAAATTCATGGGCTCAAGCAAATCCTCATGCCTCAGCCTCCTGAATAGCTGGGACTATAGGTATCCACCACAATACCCAGCTAGTTTTTCTTTCTTTCTTTCATTTTTTTTTTTTTAAGTCAAGACGGGGCCTCACTCTTATCAGGCTGGTCTTGAACTCCTGAGCTCAAATAATCCACCCACTTCAACTTTCAAGAGTGCTAGGATTATGGGCATGAGCCACCTGAGAATTGATTTCTTTAGCTTGATAAAACTCCCCAAGAAGTTAACATGTGTCACGACTTAGATTTTTGCAAATTGTTTAAACTCTTTATAAATTCTAGGGCAAAGATGGCCAACCACCTGTCAGTGGCCAGGCAGCATGTAGCTCTTTATTCGAAATAGTCTGGGCTTGGCGCCTGTGGCTCAAGTTGCTAAGGCGCTAGCCACATATACCTAAGGTGGTGGGTTCAAATCCAGCCTGAGCCTGCCAAACAACAATGATGGCTGCAACGAAAAAATAGCTGGGCGTTGTGGTGGGTGCTGATAGTCCCAACTACTTGGGAGGCAGAGACAGGAGAATCGCTTGAGCTCAGGAGTTGGAGGCTGCTGTGAGCTATGATGCCATGGCACTCTACCCAGGGTGACAGCTTGCGGCTCTGTCTCAAACAAACAAACAAAAAACCCACTCTGAAAACAGGGGAAGTAAATGTGAAAAGGGAAAACTAGCAGTTATATCAGTACAGATTAAAAAAGAAAAAAGTAAGAAATCTCCCCCCATGTGAATAAGCAGAGGTAGCCAGTTGATTTAATGTAAAAGATACACTAAATAGGATATATGTCATTTTACCTCTTTAGATGCACCAAACTTTCCTTTTTGGTGTATCAGTGAACCATATATCCTAATACACTGGAGATTTCGAGCTCACTTTCTTTTTTTTTGAGACAGGAGCCTCAAGCTGTCCTCCTGGGTAGAGTGCCGTGGCATCTCAGCTCACAGCAACCTCCAACTCCTGGGCTCAAACAAGTCTCCTGCCTCAGCCTCCCAAGTAGCTGGGACCATAGGCGCCCGCCACAACGCCCGGCTATTTTTTGGTTGCAGCCGTCATTGTTGTTTGGTGGCCCGGGCTGGATTCAAACCCGCCACCTTGGGTGTACATGGCTGGCGCCTTAGCCACTTGAGCCACAGGTGCTGAGCCTTGAGCTCACTTTCAATGCTCCCTGCTCCTCATAGGGGACCTCTACCAGCTCCTTTATTTACTCCACTCTTCCTTTCACAAGTGTTTTATTTTATTTTTTGAGACAGAGTCTCATTTCGTCGCCCTCAATACAGTGCCGTGGTATCATAACTCACAGCAACCTCTAATTCTTAGGCTCAAGTAATTCTCTTGCCTCAGCCTCCCAAGTACCTGGGACTAACAGGTGCCAAACACAACACCCGGCTATTATTTATTTATTTATTTTGAGACAGAGCTTCAAGCTGTTGCCCTGGGTAGAGTGCCATGGCTTCCCAGCTTGCAGCAATGTCTAACTCCTGGGCTCAAGCCAGTCTCTTGCCTCCGCCTCCCAAGTAGCTGGGACTACAGGCGCCCACCACAACGCCCGGCTATTTTTTACTCTTTATTATTATTATTTTTTTTAGAGACAGAGTCTCATTTTGTAGCCCTCAGTAGAATGCTGTGGCATCACAGCTCACAGCAACCTCCAGCTCTTGAGCTTAGGTGATTCTCTTGCTTTTAGCCTCCCAAGTAGCTGGGACTATAGGCACCTGGATATTTATTTGTTGCAGTTCGGCTAGGGCCAGGTGTGAAGCTGCCAGCCTAGGTATGTGGGGCCCAGCGCCCTACTCACAGAGCCACAGGCGCTGCCCTACTTTTTTTTTTCCCCTGGCTATTTTTTAAAGATAGGGTCTTGCTCTTGTTCAGGCTGGTCCTGAACTCCTGAGCTTAGACAATCCACCTGCCTCAGCTTCTCAGAATGCTAGGATTCCAGGCATGAGCCACCTCGCCTGGCTCTTCTGAAGTACTTTAAAATAAAGTCTCTAATTTAACTTTCTTTCAAAAGAAGTCAAATCAAACCACAAATATAAGAGAAGAATTCCAGTTCTCACAGCAGTGCTGGTCTGCTACTCACATCAAGGTATCTGCACAGTAGTAACAATACACACAGACCTTAAAGTATAGAGTGTCCATAAAGTTCAATCTGACTAATTTAAATCACACATGAAGTTTTTAGACACTCTGTAAATCATTTAAAAACAGCTTCAAGAAAGCCCTATATAGGCCTTAGGATACTGATTTTCTATGCCTTGTAAAACACAATAATCTTTTTTTTGGGGGGGGGCATGACAGATTTTCACTGTGCTGCCCCAGGGTAGAATGTTATGGAGTTATATAACTCACAGCAACCTCAAAATCTTAGGCTCAAGAAATCCTCTTTCCTCAGCCTCCCAAGTAGCTGGACTATAATAAGTGCCTGCCACAATGCCCAGCTAGTTTTTCTACTTTTAGTAGAGACAGGGTCCCACTCTTGCATAGGCTGGTCTCCAACTCCTGAGCTCAGGTGAGCTGCCTCAGCCTCTAAGAGAAAACATAATAATCTTTAAAATGCCATTCAAAGTTCAAAGGATTATTATTCAGTCATCAATGTACAATTTCAGTTAAAAGGGCTAAAGTTTTGGCCAGGCATGGTGGCTCACACCTGTAATCCTAGCACTCTGAGAGGCTGAGGCAGGTGGATTGCCTGAGTTCATGGGTTTGAGACCAGCCTCAGCAAGAGTGAGACCCTGTCTCTAAAAATAGTCTGGTGTTATAGCAGGCGTCTGTAGCCCAGCTACTTGGAAGGCAAAGGCAAGAGAATCACTTGAGTCTAAGTTTGAGGTTATTGTGAGCTATAACACCACAGCACTCCATTGAGGGCGACAAAGTGAGATTGTCTCAAAAAAAAAAAAAAAAAAAAAAAAGCGCTAAAATGTCCTAAAAAGGTCATATGTGACATAAAAAATTTGCTAAAATATTTGCATAAATCACAATTAAGTACCACAACCAGTATTCACCCACAAATTTTATTATTCTCCTTAGTTTTTTATGTATGTTTAAAATTTTCCACAATTAGCTGGGTGCCTGTAATTGTAGGACTCTGGCATTTCAGTCCTAAAAAGCCAACCTCAAATCTTGCAATGTAAAGATGCCTTTCCTGTAGCATCTCGCATTTCCCAAAACTTCAAAAAACAAAGGGGCTTGTACCTCAAAGCGTTCATCTTCACAACGATAAATATGTTCTTCATACTGGGTCTTCTTGGAACTAACAAAGGTAGAGTCCTCAGACCATGAAGGGAAGGAAACCCAGGTATCATTTAAAACCTTTGGGTAGAAGAAGACAGACTGAAACAAAAGCCCAACAAAAGCTTTCTGGCAATTAAATATTCTCAATAAAAAGATAGACACAACTCTATGGGAGGGGAGAAATAGCTAATGCTGCTCCAGAAATTTCACCTTTCACAAGTTTACAAAACGATTGTTAAGTACGGAAAAGCTCTCTAAAGTGAGAGACGTTTCTTGATTTCACCATAAATTCATACAAATTCTCATCCTCTGGTTCTGGAGAAAGTATAGGGTACAGGGCTGACCATTACTAGGGAAGGCCTTACCTCTTTACAGAGAGGAGTCCGTCCTGTACACTTGGGCTGCTGGTAACTCTTGGGTAGGGCACGATAGCTGGAGCCTAATCGTTTACAAGAGGCGTAATCTATCTCCATTGCAATGCCCTCTGTGGCTCGTTCCTTTGGAAAAGTTTCCAGATGTACAGATTCTTTATAGCCCAGGAAGTTTTTAAACCAATTAAACAATTCAGGGAATTTCCTGAAGAACCAAACCAAAAATTAGTAAGCAATTAAAGACATGATGCAGTTATCCTGCATTGACTTCTGACCCATTAGGTTTGGGGTCAGAACACTACTATCAGTTAAAAATTATTTCCTTTCTAAGAAGTACTGCTTCTAAGCTTCTACTTTCCCTTTTTGTATAGAATGCTCTCAGTTAAAGTGGTAATGAAAAAGCTGCACTGAAAACAGGCAATAACCAACCATTCTTTTGATTGAGAATATTGCTTTAATGTGCACATAATTCTTAGGCTGTCAAACACATTCAAGATTCTAGAGCCCTAGGAGAGATTTATCTTTATAAACATTCACAGCACTGGTCAGAGGATGACGAGACCACAAGTTTGGCCATTAGTCAATAAATACTTCAGTGTTTCCTCTGTTTTCGTACTTCTAGAGTTGAAATGGAAAACTTCTCAGGATTCTTTTGACACTAACATTTGAGTCAACCATCCTGATGAACTCTGCCTACCATATATTCTCACAGACCAAGTATTACCTGGCCTCCACATGATGATTAGGGCTGATTCCATAATTTCACTTACCCCAGGAAAGGAGAGACTAGTTGTACAAGCTCAGCCCGAGAGATCACCTCCTGGTTAAAAATAACAAGACAGCGCAGGAAATTTTCATATGCCTCTGTGCTTCGAAGAGCCTTTCGGACCTTTTGGAGACAATCGGAAGAAAAAAGGTTAGCTGGGGAACTGAGATCCAGGACTACATTTTTAAAATTGGGAGAAACTGGAACTGACATTTGATGATACTAAGGAATCAGTATTAGTTTTCTTAGATGTCATAATGATTATGTTTGAAAAAAGTAGTCATTTAAAAAAGAAACTTACTAAAATATTTATGAATAAAATAATATCTAAGATTTGGCTCCAGATTATCTGGGATGGGTAAGAGTATGTATGAAAAGAATACACTGGCTAGAAGCTGAGAATTGCTCAAGCTGGATAGTAGGTTCATCAGGGACCATTTTATTATTCTCCTTAGTTTTTTGTATGTTTAAAATTTTCCACAATCAGCTTGGTGCAGTGGCTCATGTCTGTACTCGTAGGACTCTGAAAGGCCAAGGCAGGAAGACTGCTTAAGCTGAGTAGTTAAGAGACCACCCTGAACAAGAGTGAGATCTCATCTCTACTGGAAAAAAATAAAAATAATGGCCGAATGTTGTGGCAATAGTGCCTGAGCTCACAGGTTGGAGACCAGCCTGAGCTAGAGCAAGACCCTGCCTCTAAAAGTAGCCGGGCATTGTGATGGGTGCCTGTAGTCCTACCTACTAGGGAGGCTGAGGCAAGAGAATTGCTTGAGCCCAAGAGTTTGAGGTTGCTGTGAGTATGACCTTATAGGCACTCTACTGAGGGCGACAAAGTGAGACTCTGTCTCTATAAAAAAAAAAAAAAATTAGCTGAGTGTCGTAGCAGGCCATCTGTAGTCCCAGCTACCGGAAAGGCTGAGATAGGATTGCTTGAACCCAAGAGTTTAATGTTACCTGGGCTAGACTGATGCCATGGTACTTTAGCCTGAATGACAGAGTGAGACTTTGTCTACAAAAAAAATTCAGGCTGGGGCAGTGGCTCACACCTATAATCCTATTCCTCTGGGCAGCTGATGTGGGTGGATTGTTTGAACTCAGGAGTTCAAGACCAGCCTGAGCTAGGACAAGATGCCATCTCTATTAAAAAAAAAAATAGAAAAATTAGTTGGGTGTTGTAGTGGGTGCCTATAGTCCCAGCAACTCAGGAAGCTGAGGCATAAAGATCACTTAAGCTCAAAAGACTAAGATTGCTACCAGCCATGACAACATTGACAGGAGTGATATCCTGTGTCCAAAAAGAAAAAAAAAAAAAATCCACAACAAAATTTTAAGAAGTGAGATCCTGGAGTATATCTCCTTTTCTTTTCTTTTTTTTTTTTTTTGAGACAGAGTCTCACTTTATTGCTCTTGGTAGAGTGCCATGGCATCACAGCTCACAGCAGCCTCCAACTCCTGTGCTTAGGCAATTCTCTTGCCTCAGCCTCTCAAGTAGCTGGGACTATAGGCACCCTCGCCACAATGCCCGGCTTATTTTTTGTTGCAGTTTGGCTGGGGCTGGGTTCAAACCCGCCACCCTGGGTATGTGGGGCCAGCGCCCAACCCACTGAGCCACAGGTACCACCTTATATCTCCTTTTCATATGCTTGATTCTCTAGACCAGTGGTTCTGAACCTTCCTAATGCCACGAGCCTTTTATACAGTTCCTGTGGGTCACAACCCACAGGTTGAGAACTGCTGCTCTAGTGGGTTGTGACCCATAGGTTGAGAACTGCTGCTCTATATCGTATCAAAGTCATGCAACATTTGTTGCCCTTCCTAACAGATGTTTGTTTACAGTAAGAGTCTTTGCCAACAGTTTCAAATTCTGACAATCTTGAAAAAAAATGATACATAAGTAAGATATTTGAATAAGATACTTCTGTCCTCTGACCTGATCCTTTTCCTCCCTATATGTACGATACTGAATATTTTAATTTCAAAAAAACCTAAAATGTTCAACGGTACAAAGTAAAACTAGCCTGGTTAGATGACCAATGTAGTTTCTATTCCCAAAGTAAATATTTAGCACTGTGGTCCTCTGTTGTGGACTACAGACTATAACCACACCAAAAGGCTTATCAACAACTCTTGCTCTCAACTTCTGTATACTTTTTAAACTGTTCATTAGGAGACATTATAGGGAATATGGACTTAGAGTACTGTACCTATTATACATGTGTGTATGCCCATTTATTAGCTTTTGAAGATACATGAAAATAGAAAACGAAACCTATGTACTGACCCATTAATCTCAATGATTAATATGTAATAATTTTATTTTCTCCATACCCATTTCCCCACTACTGAATTTCTTTTTTTTGAGACAGAGCCTCAAGCTGAGCCCCTGGGTACAGTGCCATGGCTTCACTGCTCACAGCAACCTCCAACTCCTGGGCTCAAGCGAGTCTCCTGCCTCAGCCTCCCAAGTAGCTGGGACCACAGGCGCCCGCCACAACGCCTGGCTATTTTTTTTTGGTTGCAGCCATTATTGTTGTTTGGCGGGCCCGGGCTGGATTCGAACCTGCCACCTTAGGTGTATGTGGCTGGTGCCTTAGCCACTTGAGCCACAGGTGCCGAGCCTCCCACTACTGAATTTCAAAGCTAATTCTCTATGTTACATCTATACATACTTCAAAAGTACTCCTAAAAATATCATCTCTTAAAATTACCTTATTTTCAAAACATTCCTTAATAGCATTTAAATATTGAGTTTTATGCATAAATTTCAATTGTCTAATAAATGTCTTTCAAAACCTGTTTAAATTCTGAATCCAAACAAAGTCTACATGTCACCTTTGGCTAATCTATAACAGTTTCCCTTCCTTACCACTCCCCTTTTTAAAGAGAAAGTCTTACTCTGTCACACTGGGTAGAGTACCACGGCATTATCATAGCTCACAGAAACCTCAAACTCTTAGGCCTGAGCAATCCTCTTACCTCAGCCTGCCAAGTCACTGGGACTATATGTACCCAGCAAAATGCCTGGCTAGGTTTTTTTCTAAGTACAGACAGGATCTTGCTCTTGCTCAGGCTGGTCTTGAACTCCCGAGCTTAAGCAATCCATTTACCTCGGTCTCCCAAAGTGCTAGGATTACAGGCATGAAGTGCTACATCTGGCCTCCTTACCCTTTCCTTGCCATTTATTGGTGGTGATGAGGAATTCTACATAAAAGTACCAAGTGCCCAAGCAGTCCTCAGAAATGGTTCAAGTCAGGGCCCCTTTTACAGAGCTCTTATAGGAATAGCAGATAGAAAGGAGCAGAAGGAACCAATCATGGAGATGTTATATCTTTTGCCCTTCTTCAAAACCTGAGTTGCAAAATAGAGTAAATCATCACATATCAATCCAGGCTGGTTCCTGCCAGTGAACAGTCCAACAGTTGCCGACTACCCTGATCAAAGTTGCCTGCTAATCACCAACTTTACTCCAATGATGAATGAAGTCAGACACAGGAATGAAGACAAACTAAAGCACCACACAACACCTTTTAACACCAATAATCTAACCTCTGGCTGCTCAGAGAACCTGGGGAGCTCTGAAAATATATAGTTAAATCAGAATTCCCATGAACCTGGTATATGCATACCAAAAATAAGTAATACAACAATTATACAATTAAAAGAAATCTTAAGTCTTCAACAATTGATGAAGTACCCCTACTCTTTATTGTACAGATCTGGGTATTACAATGGGGGGAGGTCCAAACATCTTTTGTGAGAAACAAGATGCATTTTCTTTTTTTTTTTTTTGAGACAGAGTCTCACTTTATTGCTCTTGGTAGAGTGCCATGGCATCACAGCTCACAGCAGCCTCCAACTCCTGTGCTTAGGCAATTCTCTTGCCTCAGCCTCTCAAGTAGCTGGGACTATAGGCACCCTCGCCACAATGCCCGGCTTATTTTTTGTTGCAGTTTGGCTGGGGCTGGGTTCAAACCCGCCACCCTGGGTATGTGGGGCCAGCGCCCAACCCACTGAGCCACAGGTACCACCTTATATCTCCTTTTCATATGCTTGATTCTCTAGACCAGTGGTTCTGAACCTTCCTAATGCCACGAGCCTTTTATACAGTTCCTGTGGGTCACAACCCACAGGTTGAGAACTGCTGCTCTAGTGGGTTGTGACCCATAGGTTGAGAACTGCTGCTCTATATCGTATCAAAGTCATGCAACATTTGTTGCCCTTCCTAACAGATGTTTGTTTACAGTAAGAGTCTTTGCCAACAGTTTCAAATTCTGACAATCTTGAAAAAAAATGATACATAAGTAAGATATTTGAATAAGATACTTCTGTCCTCTGACCTGATCCTTTTCCTCCCTATATGTACGATACTGAATATTTTAATTTCAAAAAAACCTAAAATGTTCAACGGTACAAAGTAAAACTAGCCTGGTTAGATGACCAATGTAGTTTCTATTCCCAAAGTAAATATTTAGCACTGTGGTCCTCTGTTGTGGACTACAGACTATAACCACACCAAAAGGCTTATCAACAACTCTTGCTCTCAACTTCTGTATACTTTTTAAACTGTTCATTAGGAGACATTATAGGGAATATGGACTTAGAGTACTGTACCTATTATACATGTGTGTATGCCCATTTATTAGCTTTTGAAGATACATGAAAATAGAAAACGAAACCTATGTACTGACCCATTAATCTCAATGATTAATATGTAATAATTTTATTTTCTCCATACCCATTTCCCCACTACTGAATTTCTTTTTTTTGAGACAGAGCCTCAAGCTGAGCCCCTGGGTACAGTGCCATGGCTTC